TGTAGCGAGGTGGGTGTCGGTCTCTTCTCCCAAGTAACAAGCGATAGGACAAGAGGAAATGGCCTCAAGTTGTGCCAGGGGATGTTTATATTGGATATTAGGAAAAATTTCTTCACCGAAAGGGTTGTCAAGCATTGGAACAGGCTGCCCAGGGAAGTGGTTGACTCACCATCCCTGGAGGTATTTAAAAGATGTATAGATGAGGCGCTTAGGGACATGGTTTAGTGATGGACTAGGCAGTGCCAGGTTAACAGTTGGACTCAATGATCTTAAGGGCCTTTTCCAACCTATATTATTCTGTGTTTCTATGATTCTAAATAAAAGGAAAATTTTAATACCTACCAAGAGGTTTAGAATAATCTATTTATATCCATTTGGAAGACTTAAATTGTAAATTTCTATGATGTCATAGAAATGTCTCAAAAGAAAAGCGAAGAGTGAGCAAGCAAACAATTAATTGCCTAACGCAGACATTTTCAAGGTAAGATAAATGTAGCGAGAATCTCCAAAACACTGCATTTCAGGAAGAAATTCTAGTTTAAGCTGCATGTTAAAACGGGGAATGAGAAGGAGCACTTTATAAATTGTTTTCTTCTTAAGATATTTTTAGTATAGCCTAATTTGTGGAGAATTTGTTTTTAGAACAGTTTAATTACTACAAAAACTTTGGAAGCATTTTTTTTACTATACCTTTTTTCATTAGCCCTTAAGAATTCTGCAGCATCATCTGCCATGTATTAAATATTTAACTTGCACAAATACATTGTTCACCAGTTTAAAAAACCCACAAACTTTCTACAACCTACCAATGTGGCCACCTCCAATGGTGTAAGTCTTCCCAGAACCTGTCTGTCCATATGCAAACACTGTAGCATTGTATCCCTCAGTCAAAGACACTAGAAGCGGCTTAATGCAAACAGTATAAACTTCTTCTTGGGTTGAGTTTTTGCCAAATACAAAATCAAAAGTGAAGACACGGTCTTTCCCAATGATAATTTGTTGTGTATTTGGGACTAATCTCACACACACTTGGTGGTTATGAAGTACTTCTTTGGAAAGCAGAGGTCTGATTCGAACTGCAACTTTAACTGGGATCTCCTCCATGCCAGACTCCATCCCTGTGCTCCCCACTCAGTATTCCTATAGTCAACAAGAAATCTGTTACCACTCCTGTGTTCACCTCATTCGCAGCTGTCTGCAATCAAGAAAAAAAGTTTTCCATGTTATATAATAAATAAGAATTAATTTTCTGCTGAAGTAAGAAAGTTGACGTTTCCTAAAGAATATATAAGCACCATTACACTCTTGAAAAGTAACTGACATAAAAGTAGCTATATTAATAACTGTTAAATCAATTCATAAATTAATTTCCAAGCTAGCAGATTTAACCTTAAGTCTGAGAGTTGCTTGATTTTGTATTTGAACATAACACAGACATATGAAGCAACAACATCGTAAGAGCTTGCTAATAAACACTGTTGATAAACCACATGCTTACAATGAATCCTGCCATTTTCCTATTCCTGCATTCATGCTGCGTAGGCAACATAAATCAGTCAAACAAAGCCTTTTTCTCCAAAAGTTCTATGTATACACACACACACACACACTTTAAAACCCTCTTCCACTTAAGAAGCGCCAAGCATTGTAACTTGACAAGCACAGAGAAAGCAGTTGTGTTGCCTACAAAGGAGGTGTGATTTTAAAGGTGTCTAATTACTACCCATAAACCATTCCTCTGATTTTAATCTGCATGTTCAAGCACATATGTAATTATTTTTTATTAATTATATATTTTAGCAACCATGGTTCCTCACACTGCTCCCTGCCTGTTCATTCTGACAACATAAGCACTGCACAGTAGCACAACCATAAATATCAAGGAACAGCCTCTCTTCACAGCTGTCTTTCACGAACATTCAAAAATCCGCAAAGCTACCAAACGCTGCTGGATCCCAAACATACCTTTTTTTTTTTTTTTTTGCTAATTCTAAGAATCTTTGCAGCGCAAGGGAAAGTTTGCTGAACTTCCTGCTTGCTAAACTCTCACACATACAGCATTAAGAAAGCTGTATTACCAAACTGGCAGAACTCATCAGCTAAGCCCCCAGAATTCAAGTTTGTTGAAAACAAACAGCTTTAATCAGTTGTCTTGTGGTCGCAAAGAGAAGAGATTTTGCATTTCATTTTATTCCTTTTAGTTTGAGAACTTGGCCATCCAGAGTTGAGAAACTGTCTGAAGTCGAAAAAAGAAAAGACCTGTTTTATTAACTGAGCAGAAGTAAAACAAATAAGCAAAGCATGAGACTGAAATCAGACTCGTATCATAAAGGACATGGCGATCAGAAACAACTACATAAACTTACTAACTACAGATTCAAAACACATTTTTATCGATTTCTGTTTTTATTTATCCCGGTACATTATTTTTATCCCCTAGCAGATACTGCTTTGAAGTGCTGACATTCCACCTTCCCTTTTGAAGTTATATTAAAAAAAAAAAATTAAACCAAGGGGGGGGGGGGGGGGGGGAAGAGAGGGAAATCCTATTCACTATTTCGTAAAAGAACGTGGGAATAATAAATAGGTGTATGCCAAAGCCGCAGAAATACTCTGCTGTCGATACATCGTGTGCCCTCGGCTGCCAGAAAGCAGGAGCAAATACGCTGGCAGGCGTTTGCCCGCAGGGGTATTTTAAGAGCGGGCCGATTCATTTTCCACGTTTGCCGTGTCTCGAAATTCACTTTTCATGCCAAACCTGAGAGGAGCCGGGAACGGGATCACGCCTAGTTCTTGGGAGCCGCCCGGGGCCGCTGAATCCAGGCGCCCGGTCCGCGGAGCCCCGCTACGGCTCCGGCGCGGCCCGCCGTCCCACCA